CATTTGCGACTTTTCATCAATGAATCAAACCATCTGATGAACATTTCATTAGAAAACAATTGTTGATCTTTAATTGTAATAGTAAAAACTTTGCTCGACCTTGATTTAGATTATGTTGATTATTTTTAATTTAAATTAATTTGACCGTGCAAACAATCAACAACAATTATGTTTATCATTGGAAGTCAAATCAACCAACCGTTACAATAAAAGGTAAATATAATTACATTATCTGTTTACAAGGCTCATTAGTTTTACCTTTTAATTTGTTAATTTGATTGTAAATCTTTTTGTTTATTGATGAATTATTCTCGATATTTTAAAAAAAAGAGAAAATCTCACTTTCTCTATTTATCATAAGTTTTAGTTAATTTAATCGAATTGTTTAATTAAATTAACGAAAACCTTAATCAATCCTTGAGTTAATTAATCTAAAGAGTGAATCGCTTTGAAACAAACAAAGTACATGTGTATTTCTATTGAATCGGTTACACTATAAATTGAGAAAACCGTAATGTCCAGAGACTCAGAACGAAATCAAGAGAGCGAGTGAGAGATGAGTAAAAGTAAATTCTTATTTGCCAAACTCCTCCTTGTTTCTCACGAAAAGTGATTGGACCTCCTTTTAAATTGTTACATTTAAATTATCATGATAATCATGGTTATCAACATCGTTATCATAATTATCATCATCATAATCAAGTTTGAATCTTTTTAACAAGTTTTCGTTCAACTATCATCATCACATTGCATTGAGTAACGTAATTAGTAAATTGTTAATGGTCAAGTGATTGACATGACCCAATCAGGTGATAATATCGATGACAACAATATTATAATCCTTTGATTTGCATCAAATATCAGCTTCTTTTCGTAGTAAATGATTAGCTAACTATCAATTCACCTTCAAAAGTTAATAAATGAATCGACTGATTTTTTGTTGTTTTTTGTCCCAACTGGTTGACCAACCACACAGATCGAGATGGAAAAACAATTTAAAAATTAACTGTGTTTCCTTTTCACATTCATTTGGTTCCTGTTGATTTTTGTTGTTTTTTCATCTTTTTAGGCTAATAGGGCAAATCATCAACATTATCATCATCATCATCATCATCATCCTAATCATCAGCATATTCATCATCAACCTACAAGGGCAATGGTTATAAGATAGATAAACATGTCAGTGGAAATGATAAACAAGAAACAACAATTGATCAGAATAAATAAGATTGACCTGATATGTTTTATTATTATCATTATGATACATTAACTTTGACACTTTGTTGATAAACTTTCAATTCTCAATGAAATTAAAATACCAACACATGAAACTATTTCCTAGAGAAAAACAAGAAAACGAGCAAGATAATGATGAGAAAGTAAAGGTAAGATGAATAAAGATAATGAAAGAAGTGAATATAATTTGATTGATCCCAAAATTTTCACAAGTTTCATTTCTAAAGGTAAGAAGCTTCCGAAGCAGCTCAATATGGGGTCTGCCGTTTAATTTAAAAAACTCTATCATCTTACCTTTACCTTTATCTTTATCATCTCTCTCTCTCTCTCTCTCTCTCTCTCTCTCTCTCTCTCTCTCTCTCTCTCTCTCTCTCTCTCTATTACTGATAACAATCTCTTTGTAATATTTTCATATATTGAATCGTGATTTGTAACGCCTTGGGTAACACCTCTTGCTAGGATCTTGAAATAATATCAATCGATATTCTGACCGATATATTTGATCATCTTCATCATATTCTTATCTTCATCATCTCTGTAAATGCTTCAACTCGGATTTATCTTCCTCTTTACTTTTCTAATTAATTTTCACTGTTAACTATTTGATGCTGTTTCTTGTTTATTTGAAAAGGTATCCAGATAAACACCGTTAGGCAAGTTTAAGGGATGATGATTAAGATGATGTTGATGACGATGTTGATGATGATGTTGATGTTGATGATGATAATAATGCTGATAATGATTAAGGTAGAGAGGTAACTTTAACTATTTCCTCAATGCCAAGCCCTTTTTTTGCAAATGATCTGAGAAAAAAACACCCCGATGTAATGATAGTTTCTCTCATCATCATTATCATCATCAACTCTCTCATTCTATCATTTTATGCGTTTATTTTTGTCACTATTTCTTTCAGTATTTTGATCAACTACTGTTTCTTGCTGTTATATTAATTAACGATAATCCATCAGAGTTTATCAATTCGTAGTCTTATTCTCAATCCTTTTCCTCTCTATTGATCATCATTATCTTCATCATCATTAGATCTCCTCCTCTTCTTCCGATTTTCATCATCATTATCATCATGTTCACTTTACCTTCCCTTTTGTGGTAAAATATAATTGATTTTAAATAAATAATTAGTATAATTGCTTAGTATCATAGAATCAGCTCATTTTCCTTTTTTTTCATGATAACCTAATCTTGGGGAGTAAGAAATATGTTTGGTCAGAGTTTTTAAATTTCAGACAATTTATGAATTCCATGATAACCTCTCCCGTTTTTTAATCATAACCTGAGCAACTTTTGGTGTTTTCAAAATCGTGAACGTAAGTTCTCGTTAAAAAGCCATTAATTCGAAATATGGTGAAAAAACGATTTTCGAAACTTTTTTTCAAGATTTGATTGTTCGAAAACCTTTCATAAGAATTTTTCGAAAATTTTCATGAATAAAAATGAAAAGCTGAACTTTCAAACGATATAATTCAATTTATTGTAATCAATCAGAAGGAAGAAAAAAATAACTCAAAATTTTTGTCAAATTCTAGTGAAAACCTCTTACGATCAAATGGATTACAGCATTTCTCAGTGACTTTCGCCGAGTTCCCAACTAATTAGCCGAGTTCTCATTTGGTTTAGTCAATCCGATAGATGGCACATTTTTTCACGATGAGTTTTCATTGACTTTCGTAAGTTCCCAATTCATTTGGTCAAGTTCCCGATGAGTTTAGTCAATTAGCCTTTACATTGAGTAAAAAATTAAACTTTTTCATTTAAATTCATTTTTAATTATTTTTTCAACTTTTAATTTGATTATTAGCATAAATCTTCGGTATTTATTGTTGAGATTCGATCAATTTTTGAATATGGTGCATCAAGAAAAAAGATGCAAATACCTTGGAGAAGAGATAAAATTAATCATATGCAAAAATTGATCGAATCTCAAGAAATTAAAAGTTGAAAAAATAATTAAAAATGAATTTAAATGAAAAAGTTTAATTTTTTACTCAATGTAAAGGCTAATTGACTAAACTCATCGGGAACTTGACCAAATGAATTGGGAACTTACGAAAGTCAATGAAAACTCATCGTGAAAAAATGTGCCATCTATCGGATTGACTAAACCAAATGAGAACTCGGCTAATTAGTTGGGAACTCGGCGAAAGTCACTGAGAAATGCTGTAATAGATTGGTATTAATTATCAATCGTTGAGATGATTTGCTTGAAAGATTTGATAATCTTTTGGATGGTTGAATCAACCATAATTGTTTATTTCTAACCTTGGTCATTGTCGAGTTTAATTGTCCATTTAATTGACACCTTAGATGGACAATTGATGATTGCAAGACCAATTACAATGGGACAATTTAACTTGCAATCAACAAATAATCGATAAATAGATGATATTATTATTAATACATGTAATATCATAATCGATTGATAATATTGCTGCTAATTAATTGATGGCTGGTTAACAATTGATTGCTAACCTTTCTCGCCCTGGGGCTTTTCAAGGTAAACATATAGGGCAATAGAATCAAGGATAAATGGTTGATAATTAAAGTTAACTAACTAGTTGGAGATAAAAATTTCAATTATTCGAGTCACTTTGAAGAACCAGTTTACATGAAGGAAAAAAGTGAAAACAAATGATAAGCTAAACCACAGCGATTCCTTTCATTGGACTGGTCAATTGTTACTCAACAATATCGACCAGTCCAAGTACAGTATTAATCTATCAAGTTAATGATGATTTAAATTGCTCGTCAAATATTTTATCTCACAGATACAAGGTAAACATGATAAACTGGTTCTCCTATAAATGAACATTTTATTTAATGATAGTTTATTCAATTATAGGTTATCAGGTTTTTGGACCAATGAGAAACTATTTCATGTCCAACACGTATTTTCACGTGCTGAACGCGCGCGCGCGCCTTTTTCATTTCTCTCTCTCTCTTCTCTCTCTCTCTCTTTCTCTCTTTATTTTCTCTCTTTTTATTGCTCTCTCTTTTTTTCTTTGTCTCTTTTTTCATTCATCTTTTTGGCGCTTTATCTTTTCATCTCTTCCCTTTTATCCTTAGTAACAATTTTCTTTTCGAGCCATTGCAAAGGCACTACATGGAAAGATCGATATTCTCTTCGAATTTCATTCATTTCTTTTCTCTTTTTGGCCAATTTTCATCTTTCTTATCTGTGGTTCGTATGAGACTCGAAGTTTCCAAATTACATTTTGATGTTGAAGTGTCTTAGTCATTCGGTTAGCATAAATCATCTTATGATTGAATATCTTTTCAAGCATTTTAATAATCACTGACTTTGTAAATGAGTATCCGAAGCAAGTGAGTTGGATAGACTAAGGAAATTCAAAAATCAATTTTATCAACTAATCAAAGGGTGAGTGTTGTAGCTCCTCCAGGGAGAAAAGTTTTTCAATCTACGAACGAAACTTATCAAGAGAAAAAATCAACGAAAGTAACTGTTGAAAGATCATAGTTTTGATATCGACTTGATTCATGTGAAAAGATGAACCGCAATCATACTAAATTTACATAAAATCGTTAAACTCACTAGTGAATCAAATTAGAATTCATCAGGAGCAATAAAAGTTGAGAAATGAATTCGAATCGAATGAGTGGCGACATCTCGCATTAAAAAGAAAAGTTTTAGATTTTGATTGGATCCAAATCCAAGTTTTCGAATCTTGGACTCGATTCATAGTTTTTCTTTCTTTTCTCTTTCTTTCCTTTCTTGTTTGGATCTTCAGAGTTTCTTTTTCATTGTTGACATTCATTCTAAAACTATTCTGGGGTCAATTAATTAGCTATTTGATAATTACTCAACTGGATTCGTCCTAATATGCAGACCAGTAAACTAAGTAAATGGCTTTGCATCGATAAGTTGATGAATTTTCGAGAAATTCTCAAAACTAATGGAGGACTTTTCGGTGCTGCTTGGAATTTACATCGGTAAGTGATGAGAATTTACTCCATTTGTAGATTGGTATTGATTTATTTGGCTCTTTTCAGACATTCTATGATCAAATGGGGTACACTCGTTGGTGAAGATAAATATGGAAACAAATACTACGAAAACAAACACTATTTCTATCTAAGTGATCGGTGGGTCGTTTATAACGAGAAATGTAATCTTGAATACGATGCGTCAATGATTCCTCCTGAATGGCATAACTGGATGCACCATGTTACTGACAAATCTCCTACAGAAGAGCCTAGAGTTCAATATGCATGGTTACAAGATCATCAACAGAATTTAACTGGATCAGCTCAAGCTTACACTCCTTACTCGACGTAAGTTATTTCATTGAGACTTAGTTGACAACTTTCATCATTTTCATCTTCTATTTTAGCGTCAAAGACAAAATTGGTTCATGGAATCCCCCTGGAGGTCGAGTAGTTATTGGCCCAAACAAATAAGATTCAAATGTAAATGAAAGAAACTATATAAGACTCCTATTGTCTTTACCAAATATAAAATGAGTAAATAATGTATTAGCAAAATTTAGCATTGATTAAAGAAATTTTAATTGTGATCTGGTCCATTTGAATGATCATTCACTAGATAAATACCCTAGTTGTAATTTCTTGATCAGACTTGAACACATTAACGCATTTGTTGACGGGCCAATGAAGATGGAATCAGTTGGGGGAGCATGCCCATGGGCGGTGGAACCATTAAAGATGGCGGAGGTACCAATGGGTTGAAAGCGGCCGCAGTAGATGAGGCCACCGTTGGGGCCACTGGAGGGGCTGGCAAGCCTGAAGTTGGCTGCTTTGGTGCTATTTTTTGAGCAGTGAAGGCTGCGGCTGTGGAATTGAGAGGGAAATTTCATCAGTTTAATTTGATCTTTGTCCATTGATAATATTAATTGTGACTTACTTGTGGCATCGATTAAGCTTTGGGCTCTTTCCTCCATCCATTTCTGATAATAGAAATTAACATTTTCCTTGTGTTTACGTCCACTACAATGTGTTTTCCTTACTGATGGCGAGTCATGTGTAAGATAAGTGTCACAATAATCACAATAATACTTCGGCATTTTCTTGATCACACACAATCAACTGAGATTTAGAAGTAAACAATTCAACATCTGATCTGATTCTCAATTCAGTCCGTGAATTCAACTATCGCCATCTAGCGATCAAATTACCAATCGAAACGTTTCTTCCAAATTGAGTTTCAGTGAGTTTGTCAGAATCATTTTGACATTTTAATTAACTTTAGTAAATCTTGATTAATTAGAACAATTACATGGACAGAACTAACTCTACATGCCGAAGATTATTCGGCTGATCGTTTTTTTAGTCCTTTCATCTTTCTTGTTTGGAGTCTTGAATAGTCTTGTCTATTCATATGAACTCTTCCAAATGTAGTACCAAGTTTAGATCTCTTGATGTTTTTAATCTTTTTAATTTTAACCTCGGCTGGTTTTTTGAGAGATTTCTTCATCAGGTCATCTGATGCCATCTTCGATCTCCGTAAACCTAAGTCGATCCTTGGTCCCATCTCTTGTAGCTCGAGTTTACGATACTTGGACTCGGTTGTTGATAAATTTACTTTATAACATCTGATCAGAATTTTGCTATTGTGAGCAACTATTTGAATAACATGTTGAACTCCAGATAAACGTAATCCACTAAGATTAGGACCGACGAAAAAATCAATCAAGAGATTTTTCAATCTTTTCAATTCATCTACTTCATCAAATTGCTGTCCCCCAAAAATCAACAGAGGCTTAGCTCCATAATCAATTTTACCATTTGCAAAACTTTTCATATTTGCAAAATTTTCGATCCCAAATTCAAACATGTCGGAAACTTGTTGATCAAAAGTTCGTCCCAATATCAAATTATTTTGTCTTTTCTTGGAATGTGAGCCAACCACGAAGAAAGTGGAATTACTTTTCCTGGCAAGAAATTCGACATGCTTACAATCTTCGAATGGGCGAATATCTTTATTCCTTTAAAAGTAAAACATTTGAACAAATCGATTAGTCAACTATAGAAAAAGAACCTTCGTTAGCTTACCTTTGCTTATTGAATGATGTAAAGGGTTTCTTGAGTGAGAACTGCAAGGCGAAAAGAGAAGGTGGAAATGGTTGGTTATAAACGTGATCATGAAATGGACAATACAATGGAAAATACTTACAAGATCCTTCATCACATCAACAGTAGTTTGATTAACAGTCGATGAGCGGATGAATACACAGCTTTTGGGATCTTCATTCACTTTGGGCTCTTTTTGCAAGAGTTTCCTTTTCCCTCGAGCAGTTTTGGGTTTTCTAAGGTCAACAGATGAAAGAAATTGAATTAGAGAAACGATACAAATGTCTGAGTGGTTGGTAAACTTACAAAACTCGGTCCATGGTAATTAAATTGGCAAGTGGTTGATCAGAATTAAAGGAATCAATTAAATGAAAACAAAAACGTGTTGAGATGAAAACTTTGAACATGTGATGAGTTTCGATTGATCGATACTCGATTATCGATTCGATGTTTTCTTTTTGGTTTTCCAATGAAACTATTTAAAATTCACTTGTCAATCGTGAATTATGAATCTACAACATGTGATAAGAATTGTGATTGTTTTGATTGATGTGATTAACTCAATAGATCATTTCGGCAATGAAATCGTTTCCGAGTATCGTTACTCTGGTCTCAGGTGGGGTCGATCGAAACGAAGTTATTCGGCCGAGAGACATCTCGAAGTGATGGTGGCTGCGGATCATTCGATGTATGAATATCATGGAGAGAATCTTCATCACTACATTCTCACTCTCATGGCAACTGTAAGTCGAATCTCCACTCACAATGGATCACCCAATTCAAATTTGCCTCAATTTTCTCTTCAAGGTTTCCAAGGTTTACAGTGATGCTTCAATTGGAAATCATCTTCGTATATCAGTTGTTGATATTAACCTGATTCGTCGGCGAGAGGTAAACAATAATTAATTGATTAGATTCAAGTGGATGCAAGTGATTGAACTCTGTTTACTTTAACAGACTAATTGTTTTCTCTTCTTCTTCTTCTTCTTCTTTTCTTTAGTTCACTTTATCGGATCATTCACTCACATCTAACTTGCAACAATTCTGTCGTTGGCAGAGGCTTCGTAATCATGGCCACGACTATGATTGCTCCATTCTAATAACCCGACATAACCTTTGCCAAGGTCAAAATAGTTGCGATGCTTTGGGTCTCGCAAGGTCAAGTACCGTTTGTAACAAGAATCTCAGCTGTGCCATAATTGAGGACAACGGCATGTCAGCGGCTTTTACTATTGCCCATGAAATCGGTCATATGTGAGTTGAACGCGTTTTACTCTCTCGATGTGAACCTTTTCTCTGACCTCTTCATCTTTTTCTAGCCTTGGTTTACCTCATGATGATGATGGTAAATGTTTGGAATTGACGAAAAACCGTCAGCCTGAGCGAAAAGTGATGGCCCGTTTACTTGACAATCGGAGTCACCCCTGGAGCTGGTCAAATTGTTCTCGACATCATCTCACTGAATTTTTCGAGTAACTTTTTGATATTTTCCAATTTTCCATCTTATTTCTTGGCTACTGTTGTTTGCCTTGACTAACAGTTTCCTTCTTGTTGTTTATTCAGTTCAGGTTATGGCTCATGTTTATTGAACAAGCCTTCTGTTAACTTATTGGACCAATATTTTATTCATTCTGTGATTGGAATAACTGATGAACGAGTTTCAGTAGCTTCTCTCAACTCTTCAGCCATTACATCATCATCTTTATCATCGTCGTCACCAGCACCATCTTCATTGCCATTCATATCATCATCGCAATCGGGGTCATCTCAAAAAAAACCAACTACTTATGGTCGTCATGCACAATGCGAATTGGTTTTTGGACCTGATGCTTCTGCTTGTCCTCATGAAGAGTCTTGTCGAATCTTGTGGTGCGACATACCGGGCCACGGATGCAGAACTCAGCACATGCCTTGGGCTGATTTCACACCCTGTGGTAGACATGCTTTGCAACAGTGTTACCAAGGATCATGTGTTTGGATCAATTCAACTGATCGTACGTCCAAAGATGGTGGATGGGGCCCATGGAGCAGTTTTTCCGATTGCTCAAGATCGTGTGGTGGCGGAGTCCAAAGAGCTACGAGAGAATGTGATAATCCAAGGTAATCAAATGAAATGAATTTAAATGAACGAATGGTAACTCGACTTTTGATTGATTCTCTTTTACCTTAATTGCATCAGACCTAATCATGGTGGAAAATACTGTGTGGGTGAAAGGATAACTTTACGCTCGTGCAATACTTTCCCATGTCTTGAAAACTCGAGTGATTTTCGTGCCTTTCAATGTGGACAGTTCAATAATCTCACTCTTGGAATCGCAGAACTCTCAAGAGATGTCAAATGGCTGCCTAAATACGAAGGTGATGCATTCAAATTTCAGTGATTTTAAGATTTTAATAAGAGAAACTAATTGTTTTAAAATTTCCAATTTAGTTGCTGAAAAGGATCGATGTAAACTTTTTTGCACGGCGCAACAAACGGGAATCTTTTCCATGTTGAAACGCAAAGTAATCGATGGAACACCTTGTAGCCTCGACTCGAATGATTTATGTGTCAATGGAAAATGTATGCCCGCAGGATGTGACCATGTTCTCAATAGTCATAAAAGGCTTGATTTCTGTGGTGTTTGCGGTGGAGATAACTCAACATGCCAGGAGGTTGTTGGTTCTCTCAATCATGTAAAAGTACATCATGGTTACAATTCACTTGTCATTATACCAAAAGGCGCTGCCAATATCGAAGTTGTTCAACACAACTCATCTCTTCGTGATCATCACTATCTCGCGATCAAAACAGTTGACGGGAATTATCTAATTAATGGAGGGAAAGTGGTGTCGTTGGAACGAAAAGTGATACCCTATGCTGGAACTGTCATTGAATATTCGGGATCAAATCACACGATGGAAAGGATTAATGCTTCTAAGCCAATTAATGAACCTTTGTACATTGAGGTGCTTTCTGGGGGATATTACTCACTTCCAGAAATACGATATAGATACTCATCTGCTAAGTCAAATGCTACTCGAACTTCTAATAATAAACTCTGCCCGAACTGCACTAAGTATATTTGGTATACTTCTGATTGGGGACTATGTTCACGGCCCTGTGGGTATGGAATTCAAAAACGTTCAGTAACATGTCTCAAGAAAGGCAAAAATATAAGTTACTTTTTATACGACAAAAAAAATCGCAGAAACGCGATTAAAAAGTACCAATCGCTTAAAAATAAATGTGACCCAAAAAAGAGGCCACATCATTGGCAGCGGTGTTTCTTGGGTGACTGTAATGGAGGTCCAAGGTGGACAACTCAGCCATGGGGACAGGTGAGTTGGACAGTCCATGTTAACTGAACATTGTTTAATTGAAAACTTTATTCTTTTACTTATTTAGTGCTCATCTGATTGTGGACCTGGTAAACAACAGCGACCAGTTCCGTGTACCGATGGTAAGACGGGAAAACGAATCAACCGACGTTTTTGTAATGCCAGTTACAGACCTCAACGCAGACGAAAGTGCTTCCTCAAACCATGTTAGTCAATGTGCCAAATGTTGTCCTCACACAATTGAGAATAAATGTCCGAGTTTTCGCTTCATCTCATCCAACTTATTTTAATTCGAGTAAAATTTGACAGTCAACCAGTTTTACTTTTTATCAATAATTTAATTTAACATGATAACAATTTTTTGATACATAATCTCGTAAGATAATTAATTATTAAGATATTGATCAGTCTTAACTGTTATGATGAATATTTCATGGTCATGTTGTTTGATTGGATCAGTTTATTCAATTCAATTCAAACGCAACTATTTATTTATTGTCATGAATTTTGATTAAAACCGAAAATGATTCATTTAACATTGAGTGAAATTGAATATAATTTTAGTAATCTAACAATTCAATTGGTAAGGAATTTGATTTAATGGATAAATTATTTACCACTTTTCTGCATTTTTTCCCGAAAATCTCCATAATTGGGCAAAGTGCTTCGATAATGAAGGATATAATCGGGCAAGTCGACTCCCATTGCTGGTTCGGAATAGAAATAATAATAAAATAGGAATCAGGAATCAATTGTTGCACTCAACCCAACAATTTAACAACTTACCTGCTCTTTTAAGGGGTTTGGATGCGAATAAATCTTCAAGATTAAACGGATCGAATGAATTTTGGTTGAATAGATCGAATGATCTTTTATCCCGAATCACTTTGTCAACTCCATTTTTATGGCGATTACTTTGATTATCTTGACTTGTGACCAAGTTAATTGTTATCAAGATAATCAGTAGCACTTTATACTTTATGGTCGAATGAGAAACAATTGATGAAGATGATAATAGACTTGAATTCATTTTGATTTCGCTGAAACTTTTCACATGAACAATATTAACAGAATCAACAATCAACTTGATCAATTCAAAGTTAAACCTTCAATCAAAGTGTTAAATCAAACTTTAATGTGTCTTGTATTTATCTGTTTTGCTGATGCCTCAATGCAACTTAACGATAGTTGATTGTTGATTATTGTAGCATAGATTGTACAATCGAGATAATCTATAGATTCCGAGGGCGGGAATTGATTCGACTCATGGTGATCTCAGTATAGAGACAAAATCGTGGAAATTTAATAGTATTCTAGTTACACAAAGAGGATTTAAGACCAATTCGTTTATTAAGATCGCAATTGAGGTTAACAGAGTTAACCTATGAAGTGTAATTAGTGTAAAATAATTGGATAAATTTGAGTAATGGTTAATCATTGAGTAACTTCAGTTAATCAATGTCTCAAAGAACTTGAACTAGAAATTAATTAACTTGAATCTACATAATGTTTGAATAATTGACTTATAAATACAATTTACAATCTAGTCGTTTTAATTAGTTTCTAACTGATTCACCTCTTGCACTAATTTGAAATTGGGACTAATAAGTTTGATTATCCACACTGAACATTTAACAAATTAATTATATGTTACAACCGGAAGACTAAAACTATCAAATAATAGCTTTGATGGTCAATCAATAAAATCCATTATTTATGATTGATAATCAATGACCAATAGGTAACAATTTTCTGTGTTTAAAAATAAATTGTTTCAAGTCCACTGAATCCATTGAATCCACTTTGGGATTTAATTGAATTCAGTTTATTGTTGAAGATGTTCATTAATCACCGTTGATGATGTTATTCAATCCAATACTTGAAACACTTTAGATTATTGTTTTTTGTCAATATTCTACTCATTTGATTGGTTGAATATCACATAATTATTTGGACCATTATTTACATAAACTTTTCTTTCATATTATTCAATTCATTTGTAACATGTATTTTTGCTTGATTTTTGGTGATTAATTAATAAATAGTCTATTGATTGATGCATCTACGGTAGCTTAGACTCTATCCCAGACTGCTGACCCAACGATTGAATCTTGAATAACCTTTCCCTTCGTGAATTAGTGAAGGCGATCGCTCATATGGGACCAGTTGATCGGGGAAAAACAGAGTTTCATTTAGCAAAGGTCGAGGTTCAGACAACGAAGATTCTGGCATCAATAATGATAATATTGTTTTTCTCTGTAACAAATTGAACAAGTTAACAATCGATCCGATTATACATCTTCCAAACTTACAGGTTCATTTGGCGTTAATTTAAAGTAGATTTCGGTGATTTCTCCTTCTTGAACGGTAAAAGTTTTACTCATTGGTTCGTATCCTTCAGCTTTTGCTTCAATGGTATAAGTACCAGGCAGAAGAATTCGCCAGATTTCCCCTTTATCTGAACTTTTGAATGAGATGTTCCGCCCTTTCACCATGAATAAAGCCTTTGAAACTACGTTTCCATGAATATCTTTGACCAGACCTCTTACTCCTCGATGAGCCTCACCCAAATAAGTTAAAAGTGCTTGCTTGTTATCGAACCAGAATTGGGACAATTCGTGACTATATGGATGTTTACAACACGATAGTTCCAATGTCAACTCCATGCATCCTTCCCAAATGTAACTGTAATCCTGCATTCCACCTTCATTCAAGAAATAGATCGAGAGAAATGATGAAATTCAACTAACTGTCTATTAGCTCGTAGGTTATTCACTCAATCGAAGCTCAGTGACAATTTATAACTAGCACTGTAGTTTATAAAAAACAAATATGTTGTTACAATGAAAGGATGAATCCTTTTTCATTTTCTCAATCAGTATTAACCAAATCGAAAATAAATGTAAAGTCATATAACTAATACAGGACCAAAAAGATAAAACTTTCCATTCACTGCCTCATGGAAAATGTATTAGTGTGAGTTTTTGATTGAATTTAGGATTTTGGTAGAATTAATAATAACAAGAGAAATGGTAAATACAGAATTCGTTTGAAAACGGATCTCATTTCCTAGCCATTGGTTAACAAGAAAATCTTGAAGGAAACAACTAGTGTTACGGCCATTGTACAGATTAGAATAAGGGAAATAGAAAAAAAGGAAATTGAAAATGAAAATGAAAATCGTCACTTTATGTTTGTATTTTTACGGAAATCAAATTGTATTGAACTTAATTAACTGAAATTCATTAGTTGGTTCACACATGAACCAGTTAGCGTGAAAAAACCGGTTTGAGTTCTATCGAATCTATTTAAATGACCAATATCGTTGAATTTAAATCTGAGAAACTCACCAACAAGTGGATACCAATGAGCACCATTGGTGGTTCCGTTGGGGAATCCGCTAGTCTCTCCAAGACCTGGACAGGGTTTTCCTTGGTGCATAACCCGATGGTTGAATGAGTATATTTTGGCCAGATGGAGGAAAACATCCTCATCAGGTGCTGGTGAGTTTCGTACTGATTTACGTGAGGCTGAAATTAAATAGAAGAAAGTTCAATTATTAATTCAGTTCTCTCGTTTGCTCAAGTAAACTAACTTCCTTGAGGAAAATTATCGAATGGATAACTCGCAACTAAAGCACCTCCATGCAGATTAGCTGATAAGATGAAAGGTGTTTTCCGACTCCATTCTTGAATCGCTCGAGTTTCAGGCTCAGGAAGAGTATCTCTTGGTGTGAAGTAGTCAGGGAAGTTGCGATTAAGATCACGTCCATGAGCATTCCCTCTGTAATTGACATTTGACGAGTTGATTAATTTCGGTTAATTAATAATAATGTCTACCTACCTTCCAACGCTTCCATGACATTGACCCTCTTTTGACATCTCAAACCCGTCAGGATTCATGGAAGGTAATATATGAATTTTTGTATTTTCAACAAGATACCTGACGTAGCGATCAGATTCGTAGTGTGTTAGCAAATACAGAATCAGATGAAGTAACATTTCCCGACCAACAGCCTAATCACCGAATTAAATTGTTATATCAAAAATTTCAAACATTTAAGAGCTTTAACTGAATAATTACCTCATTTCCATGCATATTTCCAATGTATTTGACGTTTGGCTTCATTAAAATATCGGAATTTGTATCACTACTGATTAACATGACCCACAGTTCTCGACCTAATCAATAAAAGCAGCGAAGGTTAGAATTTAACAAATCGATGAGACTTGCGAGCGTTGAAAGTCACCATGGCCTGACAACATTCAATTGAAGTTCTGATATCAATGATCTTGAATTCAATCCAGGAGAAAAGAAAAGTTGGTGAACAACAAGGTGGAAGAATATAAATTTATTACTGAATTTTCACTTAATCAATATCAAGAGAGAAGAGTCAACAGAAGATAAATGAATTAATCCTTAATCATTTATCGAAAAAGAAATGCAAATCAAGTTCTCATCCACTTTAGTTCCTCAAATTAGATTAATAAATATTCAATCCAAAAAGTAGCTTACCTTGCACAGATTTTCCTATGGAGTAAAGTGAAGTTAGATGTGGATAAATAAGATGAATTTTGTTTAGAATTGTAGTCATTTCATCATAATTGTGATAATTAAAATCTATAGTTGGCTGAGTATGAACGAAATCAATAGACACATTTATAATGAAGACAAACACAGAATAAGATGAGAAACACAAAATTCTAGGTTTCATTTCGGAAATAAAATGAGAAACTTAATTCAGAACTGATAGAAGTTTTCGAAAAATAACCAACCAAGAATTTTGAGTAGAACAAATGAATAAATAAATTTCATGGATTTTTTACAATCGAGCAGCTATTATGTCCACGGAACATTTCATCAATTGACTGTGTGCACCAACGGGAGAAAAGACCATTACTATCGACGAAAAGAATGAAGAATAAGTTGATATCTAACTGACTACAATTAGAATTCAAATATTTATCTTTTTTATTATTACGCCAACGGGAGCGAAAAGAATAGCGTTTAATTCAAGTGGGAAGGACAAGAGAGAGAGAGAGAGAGAGAGAGAGAGAGAGAGAGAGAGAGAGAGAGAGTTAGTGCCAAGAATTGTTACTACTGTCAATTAATGTGCGAATTCGTCCTTCTCCCAGTTTCCAATTGTTACAATAAAAACACAACCAATAGTTGCAAAAGAATTGCAAAAGAGACAAATAGCGATTGGGAGATCCGATGAAGTAACAAATAAGATTGACGAAGACACAAAATAATCTTGTTAATCAATTGTCATTGCAAATTGGAAAACTTGTCATTAAATCATAAGCATTAAAATTGGTGATTTAGGTCAATAAGTTGTTTAGGTACCTTTCTTTCCTACTCGACTCTTATTAACTTATTCGCTCATTGATATTTTTCGTTTTCCACTTATTTAGGTAACACCATTTTCTCAACCGTAGATGCTAATAACCGGCATGTGAACCCCAACACCGTTTCATTAGCACTATTTATGTACCATCGACAGAAGAAACTTGATCATCTAATCATCTTGATTCTCATTTATGTAAGAAACGAGGATTGAGAGGCAAAACATCAAAGGCAAAGATCCAAGATGATTAATTAGAAGCGAAATTAATTCAATTCTCAAACAATCAAATCAAAAGAAGCGGCAAATACTCTGATTGGTTCAACTCGGATCTCTCCCTGGTGGTCGACACTTTCTGGTTGCAAGAGATTCTCAAGATTTCATTTCGTTTTGGTTTCATTAGTCAATGACAATAAATCTGTTTAATTATTATTCTTACTTCCAATATTTGTGCTTTCTTACAATAATTACGATTGTGTTTATGGATTGATATCTCTTTTTAATCTATTTGTATTTTAGATTAACTGGATCGGGCCTTGAAAACCTTTTCGTTTGTCATCTCAAAGAGTCTGTTTACTTTGTGTGTGTGTGTGTGAATGCCAATGTTTTTCCATCAATCTTGTATCATCACTATCATTCTATTATTATCCTAATTCATTGAATGGTCATTGTTGTTACCACTAAATGGAATATAATGTGTGAATCTGGGAGGGATGATCGGGGACTAATTTGTGGTGCTGTTGAGGGTAAGTAGCATTTACTCTAGTGTTTGATTGGAAAACAAGTCAACAACATTCCCTTACTATCTATATACTTGATTTATCTGTATTTCTTTCTAGACTCAAGCTCAAGAGATGATTTGGATGCTCTTCTACCAGCATCATCGGACTGTAGTAAAATCAAGGCTGCCATTGAACATTATCAGGCTAAAATTATGAGGACCAAAGAAGCAATCAAAGCCGAACAGACTTCCCGAGACGAGAATGTCAATGAATATCTTAAATTAGCAGCGAACGCTGATAAAGTTCAAACTCAGCGGATTAAAAGTATGTTTGAGAAAAAGAACCAGAAATCTGCTCACACAATAGCCCAGTTACAAAAGAAATTGGATTCTTACCTGAAAAGGATTCGTGATATTGAAAATTATGGTATTCAAGCTCTCCATCAACATAGTCGATCTAAAGCAATGTTGAGTAATGTTGGTCATGGACTTAAAGGTGTCGGCACCAACATTAAGGAAGGTATTTCTGGTCTTTCGGAAGGTGTTATTGGTAGCATTAAATCTTTCTCGTCGCCCAACACACATCATTCCTCAGGTGATAATTACAATTCGAAACCCAAAGACTGTTTCAAGAATAAAATTGGAAGTGTGGACAATTTAAATTCTGTTGATAACTCAATAAATGAGAGCTCAATAGTGAATGAAAGCGATGGAAATGAAGTCAAAGAGTCAAAATCATCCGGTGTCCATAACCAAGGGGGCTCAGTGTTCTACACCCATAGTCACACTCACAGTCATAGTACCAAACACACATCTGATGAAAGTTCGAGTATAACTTCAGGATCGGATAACATTGGTGCTATACCTGGACTGGTTACTTCAGGTGGTTCCTCTGCAAGTCCAGCTAAACAACTTTATCAAACATTTGACAGTCAACTTGTTAGCCAAAGTGGTTCCTCTCATAACATTAATGACCTTGAAGCGATTTTATCTCAATTGAGAGAACGCGAAGGCGATTGCCAGCGAATAGCCGAAGAAATAGAAGCTGTGAAAACATCATTTCAAGCCGAGTACAGTTTAATCAACCAAAGTCTACAAGAAGAGCGATACAAGTCAGAGGTTAGTTGACGATTTCTATTATTCATTTTGCACCTTTGACTTGCCCCTTTCCTTGATCAGGGTCATGATTTTAATTGCTCCATTGCTCGTACGAGTTTCTAACTGCGCCCCAATGTTCAAGTGATGGATCAACTGATTAAATTGACTTGTTTTCCTGCTTTTGGGAATGATGCTTGAGGAAAAAGTGACTAATATAAATAAATAGTGAATTCGCTTTAAACCTCAGATTATGTTCAACTTTGTCAAAAACAACTCAAAAGCTAAATCTCGTCTTCATCTTATGGAGATTTTCAGTACATTTGATGATGACGATGATACGTAATAATCAAGGCTTGTTGATGTTTCTCACTGATGATTCATGATTATTCAAGATTTGAGAGAAATAGTTTGAAAATGAATCAGAATAATAACCTCAACCATGAAAAGACTTTTCCTTGTATTCCAAAATTACTCTTATTCCAGCAATTATCCAATAATTGCCATTGTTCTGATTTTACTCATTCACGTGAATCTAATGTTTCTTCTCCTTTTTATCTCTGACCACAACAGCGTCTAGAAGAACAAATGAATGATCTGATAGAGCTTCATCAAAATGAAATCGAAAACCTGAAACAAAATATTGGGGATATGGAGGAAAAAGTTCAGTACCAAAGTGAAGAGAGATTAAGAGACATTTACGAAATGTTGGAAAGTTGTCAAACTCGGATATCTCGTATGGAACATCAACAACATCAACATTTACAGCAATTAGTTAATCTTGACTCGTTGGAAAATTCGAATGCTCGTGCACTTGTTCTTAAACTAATCAATGTTCTTTTAACTGTACTCCAAGTGATTTTACTCTTGGTCGCTACTGTAGCCAACATTGTGACACCTTTTCTCAAAACAAGGTACGAATATGATGAAAAACTGACGATATTGACTCATTATTTGATTCGATTCAGGGCATAATCAAGGCCCATAACTATTAATTTTTCCATTTTCTATTACAATTAACTGGATTAAGTTATGATTGATTTATTCGATTAGGTTTCTTAATAATTTATTCTCAGTCCTGAAGCTATTGTCTCTAACATTCTGAGCTGTGAGTAATTCAATCGAACAATTTTCCTTTCAATTTTGATTGAGTTACATTACAATATTGAAACGTTATTCTCACGACTACTTGATACTTTTTCCTCATTGATGTAAGAAATACGATCTAATAATAGTTTTTCTGAATTTCTTTTATATTTCAGGATTCGGTTTCTAACAACAATTTTTATTCTGGTCATCGTGATGATATTTGCTCGACAAAAAGCGGAATTTGTTTTATGGTTTCAAACTCGAATTATCAAACGATTTCCAATCATTTTGAAGCTATTGCCTGAGGATGTGGTCATTGATGGATAAAAATTCAAATAAAGAAAGTCTTAAGTAATGATTTGGCGTTGATGAGACAGCAGCTAAATCTACACTCTCGATAGTTTTAAACAAAATGAAGCTGAAAGATCAAATTATTACTAACGAAACAAACAAATCCCTTTGTGATTGATACGATTTAAAGATTACATATGGAAGAAAGGAGCTCTTGAGAATCACTATTATGTCTTTACCACTTTTATCTTACGTTCCTCATCCATTCCTTAACTCTCTCTCTCTCTCTCTCTCTCTCTCTCTCTCTCTCTCTCTCTTATCTTTTCCTTTTTTCCCTGATCGATGCCTACCAATCAAAGATTTTGCTTCAAATTGCGACCAAGTTTTCTATTAATCACAGAATGATGAGCAGTTCTTCAGATCCATTCAAGTTGCTGCAAACAAACATCAAGCATAATCATGGAATCTTAAACAATGCCAATGACAAAACAACAACACGTTATCATAATGAGCATCAGCTGACACGAAAGGCTGCAGTTATATAGCCATTAGTTACCAGAAATTAGCAGATGAACATGAATAATAATAACTGAACAATTGAAGTGATTAAATTACTTGTTTTGACACATTGGTTTTAATTATGAAGGAGGAAAGCAAACGCAGAGTAAAGACCAGATGACTATGTAATTGTTGGTAAATCTAAGCGTTTGCGATGTCTATATACTCATCACTTTCTTCCAGATATTTTGGGAAGAATGGAAAATCTCCTGAACCAAGGGAACGCCATGTCCTTGTACCTGTAAAATTGCGACTCAAGAGTCATCAACATTTGGGATAAACTGTGATAGATGATCTCTCCGATTACTTATTTTAATTATTCTAATTGCTCTCACCTTTCACTTCATCATTTCTTTTTATTTCTTCTAAAAAGATCCTATGTCTCTGACCTAATCTTTTATATGTATACATACGAATAGTCTCTATTCAAGCCCATTTATATTTGTTCTCACCTTGTCAACATCTACACTCACCAAACATACACTTTCGATTCGTACACAATCTTTCGCCTTTTGCTAATTATAACAATCAAACACATTTTGTTGGTATCGAATTAATTAATTACTGGAATGAATTGATTGGATTTGGAATGAAAAAAGAGTTGGAAAGCATGATAATGAATTACTTTTAATGCAAAAATGACAGAATACAAGAAATTTGTTTCAAATTGTTAAAAACTTTAATCATTTTGATTGAAAATTAAGGGTTGAGATAAGATTAAATGTTCTGATTAGTTATTTGTCTGAGTCATTAACTCTGATTGAGTCGGCTAACCGCCGATGAGCTTTCAATTTCAGTTGAGTCGATTAGTAGTGCGTTGATTAATAGATTTGTTTCGCTTAGTCAGTTGACAATACAATGACTAGCTTCGGTGCCTAGTTGAATTGTATTTGATAAATTAATAAAAAACTAGATGCAAAAAGCGCCATTTGCGCAAATTTATTTCGGTAAGATTTTAGAGAGTCTATCAGTCAGAGTCTATTTTACGGAGTGAAATGTGACCAAAAGCGGGTGTGATCTTTCTTCGAAAGTTTATCTTGTTAAACTTCATCAGGAAGCAATGTTTCGCCATTATTAGCGATATTATTGGCATTTGCATCGACTGAAAACTTTTCTTCAAGATCACGAATCCTTACTTCGTGTTTGAGAATGACAGTTTTCATTTTTTTCAATTCATTCATTAGCTCCTCTAGTTTTAAATTTGCATTCGCAGGTAAAGGTGAGCCGGGCGGTGATGGTGTAGCCTCTTTGGAACCCGAGGGAGTAAGTTTCTTGGCTGGATTCTTGTCCAGGATGTTGGGCTTCTTTGGAGGAGCTTTGAATTCTGCTTTCTTGGGTTGAGCAACTCCATCTTTCAAGGACATCTGAGAGAGAGAAAAAGTATGACAAATAAAATTAGTGAACCAAATCGATGCTAAATTTTGAGCAGTTCTCGAGCTGTTCAATTGCATTCTAATGAACAAGCGTCTATTGCTTAGAAAGATGCAATTAATAGACTGCAGAAATTCATAATGTTCAGATTCTATTTACCAGAATGGGTTCTCGGTCAACACCGTTAATCCATTCTTCTGCCGTGATCGCGGGCTCTGCTGCTTGAGTATCAGGGAAAATGTCTCCTTGGAAAAGATCCGATTTCCGAGGCACCGTAAAGCTTATCACTTCTACAAAACCTTTCGAGTGAAGTTTGAAAAATCTCGCAATTTCACAATTTAAAATATCACAACCTCGTTTGGGCATAGAGCCAACTCCACGCTGAGGTTCCGTGGACTGATAGGTGCTTATGTAGTGGACAAACGGTGGTTCTTCTGTTATTTCAAAATATCTTATGTTGCTATCACCCTGCAGAAAAAGAAAATAAAGTTAATTTATGCAGGACAAATAGAGAGTGAGAAAGAGAAGCAGAGAAAATGGAGAGGCAGAAAGAGGATGTGAAACTTTAGGAAGAGAACAAAATGCGAAGAGGATGGATAGGGAAAGATGATGATAGGAAGGAGGGGGAGATAGGAAGAGAAAACTGAGATTGAGGAAGGATGATGTTGAGGAAATGAGAGAGCGCGCGGTTGAGCTTGGTAGGTATAACAAATTTACTATTACATTAATGGAGAAACTGAGCAAAAATGTGAGATCCACGGACGAGGAAGAAAATGAAGTGCGCAACAAACTAACAACTTATACCGATTAAGGATCGAAAAGAAAGTGTAAGTGAAAACTGTAATAGCTCCACGACTGTCAGGATGAAATGTAAAAGAGTCAATAATGATAATATATAAATAAATAGCAAAATAACCTGAAACAACATGAAATATTGAATACAAGCTCTTAATGGTGTGTAGGAGTTACACTTAATCTCTTCTAATGATTTTAACAATTTTAAAATCTTTTTTTTTTCGTTTTCTCTCAACTGTTATTTACTTTTCATCCAATTTTATCAGCATCAGAATCAGAATGATACTCAACTGAGCAATTGAATCATCAGATTGGTCAGATATTGTTGATCAGTCAAGCTAACAAACTTTTAACAATGGCAACTCAAGAGAACCTTTGGCTGATTATTGGTAAATGATCGACTAAGATAAAAGAAAATTGATAGAAATTGAAGCGATGAGTGAAAAATGATGGAGAGAAAAAGAGAGGCAACAGGCAGATGAGATAAAGGAAGAGAAACATTAATACAAATTAACATTGAATAAAACAAAATTGTCAGGAATAGAAACGATAATCATAATGAAGGCGTTGGTTGAATTGAATAATATTACCTTGGCGCATAAATAAACCAGATTGATATCCGGATCATAAATCGGGAAAAGAACACCGTTACTAGTGTCAAGAACTTCGAGTACAATTGGGTCACCAAGGGCGGCTTCGCTTCTCAGAGAGTATTGTCTTTCACTCATTCTTGAAAAGCCAGTGGTAAATATAAGATTGTTTTTTAGATACATCGCTCTTTGTGGCTTCGCTCCTTCATGACCATCAGCTTCCTATGAATGATTGTGAGTGACAGAAATGTTTAAGAATCAAGAATAGTTGAGGGAAAAATTTGCCTTTTAAGAAAAGTTGAACATTACCTGTTCCATTTCTCCTGTTCTTGGATCATAGATTCGTATTTTTTTATCTTTACATGTTGTGCATAATCTACTTCCGTCCCAGCTCCATGAGCAATGGAAAATTAAATCAGGATGATCGATTGATGATAAAACTTCCCCTGTGCCAACATTCCAAATGATTATTCGACAATCGGCTCCTGCTGAAAGCAGAACATTGTTCGCTGATGGATGCCAAGAAACCAGACCAACTCTTCTTTGATGTCCACTTAGTTCAACGATGGGTTCAGTAAGAGATTTAGTCAACCCTCCGTCAGGAATTTGCCAAACTCTAACTATTGCGTCTTCCGATCCGCTAGCAATAACATTGTCATTAAAAGGGCACCAAGCGATATCCAAAACTGGGCCTTTATGACCTGATACCATGGGAGCATTAACATCGACACGTCCAGTCTGAGAGGGTAAAGTTGTATGGATTGGCCATGTAAAATTGAATAGACAAAAGAAAAAGCAAAAAAAGTAAATATTAATATAAACATTCAGAATGAAAACAAAAAAAAAATGACACAAGTCGCATTGAGCGCATTGTCATGGATCGTTTCTCCTATTGTTGCTTCTCTATTACAGTATCATGTTCTTTGATCTATCGAGCTATCAGTTTGTAGAGAATTCAGGGCAATGGATGAATAAAGTACTCATTAAGTAAATTGAAAGGGAATACAAACCTTGCTCAACGGTAAAACTAGGAAAGCTCCTCCACCAGCAGCTTCGATGACAATAGCAATAAACTTGGGGTTAACAGCACAGAAAAGAGAGTCCCAAGAGTTTTTGGTAATCCGTATGTTGTCATAACATTGTTCCCGTTTCAAAGCCTGACCATAGACATGTCGAAACTTGGAACGCCGGACAATACGGAAAGACATATTTTACAGAGAAAGAGAGAGCAAAACAGATGAGAAGAAAATGAAGAAAACAAACCAAGATGATATTAGATGGAAGAGACCAGAGTCAGAGACAAAGCCGATGAGGAAAGGAGATGATTAATTGTTTGGATGGAAACCGAAAGATAAATAGTAGGAGGGCGTACAAGTTGGAACAACAAATAAATAAAGACAAAGGGAATCAATTAATTAATCACATGAGAGAAATTAGAGAATTTGTTTGAACCATGAAACAAGTGAAAGAAAAAGAAAGAGAATTTAATTGGAATCATTTTTCTCTGTCTACCTCTCTTTCTACTCCACCCCTTCATTCATACATTTCCTACTCTGGCTCCATCTCGAAGAGAATGAGACAATCGATCTGAAAATGTTTTCTTTCAATCACATTTGAAATTGATTCTTTTATCAATTGCTAATCATCTCAAGTTTTCCTCTCATTTCTAATCAGTTGAAATTCATTTGCAACTAATTCCTTTTTGAGTAAAATTCGTCTCTCTGTTGCAAATCAGATTCATTTGTGTGACTCAGCTAATAAACCAGAATGAGAATGTGTAAGAGAGAGAGAGAGAGAAGAATCGAAAGAGAAAAGGAATATGAAAGGAGAGGAAGGAAGAGAAGGAAGAGAAGGAGGATAAACATTGTGATTATTGATTTTGATACAATTTGAGGTTATCTTCGCCTGTTCTTCCGCTTTGCAGCTACATTATTCCTCAGACGGCCATTTTTGATCATTTCCCTTGAAGCTTCTCGATCATAATAATTCGCCATTTTCCCATTTCCATTTTCCATTGGCTCGAAAAAAAGAAGCAATTCTCTTGATTATCCAATCCATCATTTTAATTATTTTTGTACAGTCAATTTAGCCAACAAATGATTGTGCTTCATTCTTTACCTGTTGTTGATACATTATGACAATGAAAAGTATTGATAGTTTAACTAAAATTACAAGGCTACTAATTTTACCTAATTTGATGAGCTGATCATCAAAAAAAAAACCAATCGGACAACTTAGCTGATTGAAAGTACGCAAAAAGTTCAAAATAAATCGAGCCAATTTAACATAAACTAAGTATAAAGTCAATTTCATTCCTGTTTATCGATTATTGGTATTCACACTTTTAACTTTACCTTATGGAAAATGATAAATTTTATAATTGTCAATGAATTTATGTATTCCGCCAATCAAAAACTTCCATAGAGGGATAAGAAAATAACAAGACAACGGTAAGAAAGTTCGAACCTTTTACCTGTTAAAGGGTGTTGCATTTAAGAATAGTAAATAATCTTACCTTAAATTGTGATAAGGAGATGACAATTAATACAATTGTTTACATTTGCCTAGTTCTTATTACAATTAAAATTGGAATAATTTACCATTTTTAACTGCAACATCATTTATTTTCTCATCTCTCTACTGAAGCTTCAAAACACCATTTATTAACGGTTAGGTTAACAGGTATACGGTAAGGTTAATTCAGAGAGATTCAGAGGTTGAATTAATTGGTGATGGTAACAATTTATTATATTAATATATCTCAGAATAAGAATCATAAGCTTAATGTATTTCTTTTGCACTTTGACTCCAAGAAATATTATTCATTACATTTCCGGTTACATTTTACTTCCTACCAAAAAAGGATTAAGTTAAGTTCTAGATTTAATCATTATCAGTTTCATGTTATTTATTTTTGATTTATCGTTTGATTTTTTATGCTAAAACCCATATATCAGCGACAGAGTTTGTCATCGCAATGAACTTAGAAATGGATATGGTTAGGTTAGTCAGTCATGGAATGGAATCCGGAATCGGAATGATATAGGACCTGCTCGCCATGGAGGCTTTTATAACCATATGGAACTGGACCAAGGTCGACATCAAGCTGTGTGAACAGGATTTGATTCGAAAAGAATTTTTAAAAACGACATTAACCAGTTTTCTCTGGATCAAGAAAGGAGAAGAAGAAAAGATCTTGTGCCACGTAGTGTTGCGCGATACTTGAGAAAAGTATTGATCGCAACTATAGGTACTCGAAAAAAGTATCGATACTATCGAGTATTGAGTAAAAGCAAGTAATACTCGATATTTGTATAAGTGTTTTGGCCACAAATCGAGCCAGTAATCTAAAACAATGACGAAATTCTGAACTTTTTCAGCTTTGATCTGATTCTTTTCGTTAATGATTTGCCTTTGAAGTATCGATACCTAACCTTAACCACAAAGTATCGGTATCGAACACAGAGCGAGGTATCGATACTATTACTCAAAAGTAAAGTATCGCAACACTAGTGTCACGATATTGATGAACATAAACTTTTTACGCATCTCTTGTTCTTTTTTCAGCATTAAAACTGTAAACTGTATCTGTGAAATTGTGATCACTGAAAGAATTTTAAAGAAAAGAAATTTTGTTTCAAGATTATTAACGATTTTAGGAGAAAAAGCTTACTAGATCTGATTGAGATCGAAAACGATGAAATCTTTTTCATTAGTGAGTGTAATGTACCTGAGATTGTAAATGAGACTAAAGACTTTCGGTCAAGTTTGCGTTGGCAAAAAGAATGGCTGTTACAACAGAGGTCAATTATTTCATCGGACGTGAGTTTTACAACTCTCAGAAAAGGGAGATATATGATCGATATCATCCGAATGTATGCATCCCCTCGAAAAAAGACGATAATTCACTGATCAACCTTCTTGACAGCCTTCCGGTGAACAAAACCTGTTCGTATCGGGGGCCTAAACATGGACGGAATCGCCGAGGAACAACTATGGATACAAACAGTTTGGTCAGAAGCTCAAATCAGTGATGCTACGACATCAACTGGTGTCACTACTTCCGAAAAATAAACCGTTGTCGTTCACTCGAAAACATGCTGGGGGCTCGGCGATGTTCTATTAACAAATTGCAAATTTAAAAACAATGCTACACTTCTAATTGATGCGGTGGGATTAGACCTTGTAATAATCAGTGCTAACAATGAAAATGTGTACCAGCCGGTGAATGAAAAACTTGATAAAACACCGATATACCAAAAGATTGCAATGAATTGCCAATTGGACGATCTTGATTTGATCCGGACACATTTATGGCACTTAATCTCTCCATGTAAATTACAACTGCAATTGCAAAACCCGCATCAGAGGCTAGAGTTCAGCTACCGTTTCTCTAGAAGCTCTACTGTCAGAGTCGATCATCTCCCTGATCGCGTCCTCATATGTGTCGCCAACCGAGAAGCTGTACATTAGACTATACATACTCCGGAGGCTCATTCTATGGTTCTCAAACCGTGCACCGACCGCTGCGCTCATCTTCCCTCTCTTCCCGGCCGGATATGGCTATGACACACGAAATTACCTATTGCGCCACCTTTGATACCAAACACCATATCCTTTTAATGGTGATCGCACCGAGCCTTCTTCCTCAGAAGTCCACTCTCTTGTGAACATAGAATCGCTTTCTCTCGGTCGCCCACGATCTCATCAACCAAAGTTTCATCAAAAAAATCGACCGACCTAATACGGGACTCTTACCGCACTAGAAATGTCACCGATCACGAACTGAAAGAAAAGTTGCTGCGAGAGTTAGCAGTTAGCAAAACAAAAATCTAACCAAGTTAAATACTTGCAAATGAACCTGATCGAGTTACAACAAGCCATGCAATGTGAAGAGATGACATCACCATGAACATTAATATTAACATTTATATATTCATATTATCAAGAATATGACCATAAAACTCAAATTCGAACGATGGCCTTTCAAAGTTGGAAAAGTGGTACATTTGCATGCAAAAAATTTCGTGTTGAATTTTTCTGTACCATTCAAAAGCTCAACTTTTATTGCGTAGAGTATGCTAATGACTTTTTTGATCTGACTTATCGTTCAGGAGTAATTATCACTCTAAGGTGCGTATTTGATCCATTGGCTTCCATGCGAAACATTTTGACCTTTTCGATCGTCATGTAATCATGCCCTAGTATATTCCCGATGCTGAAAATGCTATTAAACCTGAAAAATTAGATCTCTAAGCTCTTAAACGTGGTTCAGAATAGCGGAAACTTTTCCGTTGAAAGTAGCAAATAGGCCATGATTTTGAGCGTACAAAAGTCTTCAGGTGCGATTTAGTTTTCTAGATGTCACGATTGACATCTAGCATATAAAGATAATAGATAAAATTTTGGTTGTGAACCGTTGTGATGTATATTCATGTATAAACTCATCGTGAATTATCTCAGTAGGAAAATTTTAATATTTTTATTCTGTTCTTTAACATATATTCTTTATCCTTTACACTTGGACCGCGCTGAGCCAAATTTTTATCTTCGTTTTGTTCATATGCTAAAAAACATTTTGAAGATGTTAAATCTTGAAAAGTCCAAACAGTTTGGTGATCTCCATTCATAGAACTCGAAAAACCTCCAACGTTAACACCTTGACAAGAATAAGCGGAAATAAATCTAGAATTTTGTTGATCTTGTAAATGAATTTCAGAAAATTTCTCTCTGTCATTGTTAACATCAGCTTATTGATTAGCAATCCAATCAAAAAGAACAGTTTGCTCGCCAACAGCAACCAAATTAACATTGATTCATCAGCAAAAAACTCAGTTTTACCGTCGTAGATCACTATCTTCATGTTAATTTTTAATTAAAATACAAGAGCAAAACAAAAAAGGTGATTAAAGTTAGAGAACAATTAAAGAAGAAGATTAATCGAAAGGTTAATTTGTTCACATCTTTTCGACATCATAGCACTTTGACTCGGACAATTGTAAACCATTATGATCAACTGTTAATCACTAGAAAGAGACAAAATAAACAGAAAAAGGCCAATTAATCACTTGCGAAAGAAACTTTTTGACCAAATATTAACACGATCAAATGGTCTTTGTTTCACATGCTTTTGATTTAGTTTGAGATAACATTAAATTTTCAAAAATCTTTCAATCTTTCTATAAGTGTTAATTTTGCGAATCAGTTATTGTTATCATATTGTTTATGTTACTCACATAAAATGGGCAAGACAATTTTCAATGAAGAGCAGCGAGGGAAGATGGATGTGGCGATAATGACACACGACAACATAAGAGAGGTCAATCTCCAGTCCTTGACCGAAGAGGTAAATTCAATTCAACGCGCTCGCGATAAACCCATAATAGACATTTCAAAGATACGCAAATATTTGATGAAAGGATTCGATGATAAAACTGATTACCGTCCTAAATATTGTGATCAATCAAAATAACTGTTCAGTGATGGG